TCACCCACTTCCGCGAGGTCTTACCGATCAAAACCGCTACCGGTACAAGCTTCTCTGAGTCAGCAAGCCAGATCCTGCATAACATGCCCATCCAAAAGGTATCAGACCTGAGTTACCGAAACGCAGGCATTGAAACCTCGAAAGTGCTCATGACATTGATTTACTGGAGAAGTAAATCAGTTCTCGTTCACGCAAATCGAGAAATGTTCTGCATTCGGCGAAGGTGCCATCAACTGGAATACAGATACATCGACCAGTGTGCTTGTAATTCATAGAGGCACGGGAGCCTCTGCTGGCGTATAATACGACACGATACATCCAGAGTCGGTCCGGTGCCAGTTCCACCACTTCTGTTCCGGCAGGTGTCAGTGGGTAAACCTAGTGGTGCACGGGGTTATTAGGTGACCACTGCCACCGCCATTCTCGTATAATCAGCCTAGCACCCTTTTATTTTTCTCCTCGTCTACGGAGTACCCTGTCCATACTGTCTGCCTTGGCAGCTTTGCATAGCCAAGACCTAGAAGAAAGTCGGCAGTGATGTGTATGTGCGTGCAAGGCTTCAATCTGAGCTCTTCCAATTCACTCCTTGATGAGGCACATTTGCACTTTTCCATTGCGGGGTACGAACTTTATTCGACTCGTAAGCTACCTACTTGGCTCTAGGGTCCCTCTCCGCTGGTTCTGCAATGATGCATTTGGTGTCAGCCTCCCCACCTGAATTGTGCATGGAGAGACGTAACCCCAATGGACGTGAGACATTGTCTCTTCGTAGTCGCGCTTCGACACGGGACATAGGGGGACGGCAGGTCAGCGGTAAGAACGTCTCAGCTGTGCGACCTTGAGAGGAACCGCCTTATAGACATACCTTAGTAAGAATGTCTCACGTCATTTCGGTCGTAAACCACCTACCCCTCCCTCCCTTCCGACCAGCGGCATCTTCACACCTACGCAACCAAATCTCCAGACTGAGAACTGGCATCTACTTGCGGTTGAAAGCTTATCAAAAATCTCTCAACATTTTTGGCATCTGACCTTCCCGGTGTTCTTTCTGCGCGAAGATGGATCCCGCGAAGCTCACTGGCCAGGCTCTCCTCAGCCACACTATCCAGACGACACCCATTATCGACAACCATGCTCATCCACTGCTGGACCTCGACGCCATCGGGCGTTATCCACTTCTTTCCATCACTACTGAAGCTCATGGAGATGCGATCCACGCCTCGTTGACCAGTCTGGCCCACTTGCGTGCTGTGAAGCAGCTTTCTAAAGTATTGAGATGCGAGCCCAGTTGGGAGGCCGTCGTTAATGCCATCGAGGCAAAGCGCATTGAAGACTACGACTCCTGGGTCGCTGAGTGCCTGAATGGCATTCAGTCTGTCCTTGTAGATGATGGTCTAGACGGCGAGGATGCGGTATACCCCTACACTTACTTCGGTGACGTTACACCAAGCCCGGCAAAGAGAATTGTCCGCATCGAGAAGATCGCTGCTGAAATCATAAACAACCACTTACCTAAGGAGGGAACAGCCGCAAGTAATGCCAAAAATGCAGGTGTCGTGTTTGAACAGGCACTTAAGGCGTTTGACCAGAGTATTGCGGAAGCTATCGCTGACCCGGAAGTTGTTGGCTTCAAGTCCATCATCTGTTATAGAACTGGCCTCGCGATCCCTAGACGACCGGATGCCGCTGCAGCTAGAAAGGCTTTCGAGACTATCTACGGGAACTATACACAAGGAACCGACAAGGCGTTCACGCGCGTCAATCACCAAGGATTGAACGAGTATTTGGTTCACAGGCTCGCATGCCTTATCAGGAACACCACCAGCGCCGGCAAGAAACCAATTCAATTCCACACTGGCCTGGGTGATAATGATATCACCCTCACTTCTGCATCTCCATCTCATCTCCAGGAGTTCATCCGGCAATATCCCACTGTGCCTATTGTCCTGCTCCATGCCAGCTACCCCTTTATGAGGGAAGCTGGGTACCTGGCTTGCGTCTACTCTAATGTGTACACCGATATTGGAGAGATATTTCCTTTCCTGAGTCGAGACGGCCAGGAAACTGCTCTGAGGCAAATTCTTGAACTGTGTCCTTGGTCCAAGATCCTTTGGAGCACAGATGGGCATTGGTTCCCAGAAACTTATCTGCTCGCCGTGCTGCAAGTAAGAGAAGTCTTGGAGAAGGTATGTACCAATTCCCCCATGACTCCTTCACTACACGCCGTTGATTATTCCAGGTCCTATGCGAATATGCTCGCAAAGGACACATGACTTGGCGAGAGGGCACTCAACTTGTGAAAGACATTCTTTTCAACAACTCGAATCATGTTTACCACTTAGGGCTCGAATTTAATTTTAACGAGTCAAACATCAACCCGAGAAGACTGTCTGGGAGAAGTGACCTCGACATCCTCGAAGCTTTCTTGGATGGAAAGAAGCCGCCACAGTATCTTCGCATTTACTGGAACGACATGACCGCCACGTTGCGAGTCCGTGCTGTGCCGATGCGGAAAGTTCTTTCTGTCTTCAATGAAGATGGAGACTTTTCGCTCAGCATCACCAAGGCAAGTCTTGGTCTCCTGCAAAACGACCAAGTCGTTTCAGGGGCATCCGGCACAGGAGAGTACAGACTTCATCCTGACTTCACCTCTCTGCAAGAAGGGCCGAGAGATGGTCATATTAGCGTCTTTGGCGACTTTAGAGAGCAAGACGGATCATCGGTTCCTCTTTGTCCGCGATCTCTGCTTCAGCGAGTGGTCGAAATTGCTGCTCGACACGGGTTGACATTCCACCTCGGATTCGAAATCGAGCTTGTTCTTCTCGAGCGCACTGGTAACGCCTTTGAAAAGTACAGAACTCTTACCAATGACGGGCATGCTTGGTCCACTCCCCGCATGATGGACAATCCGGTCTTCGTCAAGGTTATTGAGAGAGCCGTCGCCGAGTTGGATGCGAGAGGCATCTACATCGAGCAGATACACCCCGAAAGCGCAGCTGGTCAGTTTGAGGTCATTCTTCCACACGCCCCACCGTTGGAAGCGGTAGATACGCTTCTGTACGTCCGCGAGGTCATATCCAGTATTGCTACTGCCGAAGGCTACAGAATGACACTCCACCCGAAGCCGTTCCCGAAGTCCTGTGGTACGGCAGCTCATATACACATGTCAATCACCTCGGCCGGCGGTTCTAAGCCAGAGACGTACAATCCCTTCTATGCTGGCATCTTGAAACACCTTCGATCCATCGCCGCCTTCACCTACAGTAATCCTGTCAGTTATGAGAGAGTTCAAGATGGGGCATGGGCCGGCGGTCGGTGGGTCACTTGGGGCACTCAGAACAGGGAAACACCTCTACGAAAGATCGAGGACAGCCATTGGGAGATCAAGTGCATGGATGGAATTGCTAATCCTTACCTGGCGATTGCTGCCCTTCTTGGCGCGGGGACTCATGGATTTGGACAGGGAGAGAAGCTCACCTGGGGCGACTGTGAAGTTGACCCTGCATCCCTGACTCCCAACGACCGGAAGGAGTTAGGGGTGGAGCAAATGCTCCCGTCAGGACTACGCGAGGCTCTCAAAGCCCTACGGGCGGACGAAGTGATGAACGAGGTGCTAGGCGAAGATTTAATTGAAAGGTATGTCACAGTCAAGGAAGAGGAAATGAAGAATTTGGAAGCCATGAGCAGCGACGATAGAAGACAGTGGATAATGGAACGATACTAAAATGTAGGGGTTGCAAATACTTAGTGTGTTCGAGGGTGCTGTTCCCGTTGACCTTATGTTCGTCAAGCTCCAGGCGGAATAAATGTATCATCTATTGCACAGCGAAATTTCTTTACTGACCAAGCCTCGGGGCCTCTGAACGTTTTGTAGTCATGCAGAGGGTGAAGTGTCAAATCTGTTATCACATGATGGATCAACATGCTACTTATCCGCAGTAGTGATGCTACTAATAAGTTTGGTAAGATTGCAACATGTATTTGATTGCTAAGTTAGGTGAAACCGCGCTTGATAAGCCCAGGTACCAACAGCCAAGCAGCCCAACTCAACAAGATTACTGTGAGCGGCAGGTTAGCGAGGGCATATATGGCTATTCTGTTTCCGTCTACCCTTCGCACCCGCCCTCGCGATTCAGTCTCAACTCCAGAATGAAAAGGGCGGATATCAACATCCCTGGGCTGCCTTCGACCCGTGAGGATATGGCCGTTGCTAAGAAAGTTGTTTCAAGTCCTAGTCGTATCAGTAGCGGAGGTAGGTTTGCTTGACTTAGAGTCAATAGCTTATAAGTCAAAGCACCCGCTTTCCGATCACCCCCGCTTGGCGATCACCTATTCCCCACCAGAATACACTAAAATACACCAAAACTACTCCTTTTTACTATAGCTATAATAGTATAACCCTAGCTTCTTTAATTCTATAAAAATTTCTATAGTTAGTTATATACTTACTTTTACTATACTAGGTTTTTTACTATATTCCTATTAGTATAACTTAAGATATAAGGCTTTATATAAAGATATACTAAAATACTAGTAAATTATTATTAGCTATAACTTAGTATTTACTAGTAGTATAAGCTTAAAACTTTATAAATAGCTATATTATTTATAATATTAAGTAGTTATATTTTCTATATAATATATATAGTCTTATATAAGCTTATATAAGTAAATTAAAATTTCTCTAATAAAATTTTCTTAGTAAATTTTATATTTAAGTATATACTATAGTATAGCTAGTATAGTCTATAGTATAAGCTAGTAAATATATACTTTATATTATAAAGTAACTATATAAAGTATTATAGGTTTTTTTACTTTATAGTTCTAAAGTTATATAGATTTTAATACTATTAAGAAATACTAGTAAAATATACTAAAACCTTAACACTTTTACTACTTTAGCTTTAAGTAGCTAATACTTTACCTATACTTAGTAAAAAAATTATATAACTAGTATATAAACTTTTTATATAATTATTTATATATGATAATTTTCTTAGAATTATTAAGACTAGGGTTATATAGTTAAAGCTATAGTGAAAAAGAGCAGTTTTGGTGTAAATAGGTGATTGCAAAGTGGGGGTGATCGGAAAGCGGGTGCTTTGACTTATGGCCTTATAATGTTGATCACGTGGAGGTTTTTAGTAATTAAGCTATGCCCTCACTTCGACCCGCAAAACTACTCCTTCGAACCCCAAAGGCCGGCAAAGGGGTCACAGCTCGGATCTTCGACTGGGGTGTACTCCATCCTGTCGGCAATGTTCTTGGCGACACCTTTCCCGTACACGGCTCCGATCCAGGCGAACGTCAGGTCAATGCCGGCACTGATGCCCGAGGATGTCCAAACATGCCCATCCTGAACCCACCGCGCCTTGTGTACCCAGTCCACCTCAGGCCGCAGCGCGATCGTTTCCTTCCACGACAGCTTATTCGTGGTCGCTCGCCTCCCGTCCAGGACCCCAGCCCGCGCCGCCACGCCTGACCCGGTGCAGACGGTGAGAAGGTACTGCAGGGAATCGAACCTTTCCCTGACGAAGTCGATGGCTGTGCTGATGCCCGGGTATCGCGTGCCCTGTCCGCCTGGAACGATGAGGACGTCGAGGGGCGGGGCCGTCTTGAAGGTATGAGTCGGCACGATCCGCTGGCCGAAGTCGGAGTCAGTGGTGGAGGGCTGGTGCGGGGTGTCCTGCTTGGTTGACACGGGGTCTAGAGTATCTGCGATGGTGTAGAGGTTCATGTGGTAAGACCGGGACAGCAAGTTGAGAGCATCCAGAGGCCCGAAGACATCGAGCGCCTGGAATGCCGGGAAGAGCACCACGCCGAAGTTGAGAGGCTTCTCTGGGAGATGGTTAGAATCATGCCCGAGACTGCGAACGATTGCAGTATAAGCCATTTTAACCATCTTCGTTCGACTCACCGCCGGCAACGCCATCACACTCCTGAGCCATTGGTGGCCTATGACTGAATGTCCTGACGCGGGGAAATGGGATTGAGACGGCCGCCGCGGGTTTCTTGACGAGCACTGATAAGATGATGGTGCAACTTCTTCTGCTGAGAATTCTTGGAATGCTTGGCACGATGTTTAAGCACTGATGTGCAGTGCCCAGACCCCGCGATTTGGTTACAGCTAGATTTAAGACTCCGGAGAAGTGCACACGGCAGGTCGATCGGCACACTCGGAAAACGATGAGAGTTACGTAAGGTCAGCAATGAGTGGGTTTGCGGGGTTTTAGTAATCGCAGAGCAAAAGGACGGAAAGATCTTTGGACTCGGACGCCGAGCGCTTGAGATCGTGTCATCGTCTCTCGAGAATTGGTTTATGAACACGTGTCAGCATATATAGCTATCCCAGTGGCGGTTTAGCAGAACGCCTGCGTTTTGCGATTGCAGGTTTTCCAGCGCAACTTTCTACGAGAGGAGAATAGGCTACTAAACAGACTGATCACAGTCCCACAGTCGCTGAATCCTAAACCTCGACTGGTCCATCACAGCTTATTGCCCATGTTTACATGGACCGCCTTGATCTGGCTATACGCCTCGAGACCCGCCTCACCAAGCTCCCTTCCAATACCGCTCTGCTTCACACCACCAAAGGGAACCCTAGGATCGCAGTCTTGGCTACTATTTATCCACACCATGCCTGACTCGATCTCGGAGGCCACGCGGTGTGCCCTCTCCAGGTTCGTTGTGAAGACGGCGGCACCTAGACCATAGACACTGTCGTTGGCGATCTCGATCGCCTCGGCCTCTTCGCTAAATTGTTGGATCACGACAACGGGTCCAAAGATCTCTTCGCGCCAGATCCTCATGTCGCTCTTTACGTCCGTGAATACTGTCGGGGAGACGTAGTACCCCTTGCCGAGGTGCGCCGGCCTCTCACCTCCGGTCTTGACCGTCGCGCCCTCGTCGCGGCCGGCTTGGATATAGGCCAAGACTCGGTCGTATTGCTGCTTCGAGACCTGCGGGCCCTGGTAGGTCTCCGAGTCCCATTGATTGCCCACCTTGCTCGTCTTGTGGATCTCTTCGATGAACTGAGCAACAAAGGCCTCGTAGATATCTTGTTGGACAAGGATCCGCGATGTGGCTGTACAGATTTGGCCCTGGTTGGACATGATGCCTAGGTGCGACCACTTGACGGCTTGCTCGAGGTCTGCGTCGTTGAAAACTAGAAGCGGCGATTTTCCGCCGGTCTCGAGGGTAACATTCTTCAACGTCGCCGAGGCCATCTTCATGATGTTCGTTGCGGTCCCCGTCGATCCCGTGAAAGCAACCTTATCCACTAGCGGGTGCTGCACGAGGGCGGCACCGGCATCCTTACCCAGGCCGTTGATGAAGTTCACAACGCCGGGGGGGAAGCCGGCTTCCTTAACGAGACGGCCGAGAACGAGAATGCTCAACGGGGTTTGTTCGGCGGCCTTGAGAACTACTGTGTTCCCGCAGGCTAGAGCGGGGCCGAGCTTCCATCTACGGTGGCACACACGTTACTCGAATGACGCCTATTGTTAAGCTTGGTTTAGACTTACGTCGCCATGGAAAGAGGGTAGTTCCATGGGATGATCTGACCCACGACACCAATAGGTTGCCGGATAGTGTAGGCAAACTTGTTTGGCAGAGCGATGGTCTGGCCAAAAATCTTGTCGCACCAGCCACTGTAGTAGCGGATAACACCTACAGCCTCAACGAGATCGTTCGTCAATGCCTCGGTGTAAGTCTTGCCTAAGTAGAAGCAATCAGCATATTGACTGAGACGATCGCGTGAGGCTCGAAACAGGGGCTTTTTAGCATCATTTGTCTCCTACCATTGTCCCAAGCATCGATGGTCGCTAGCAGCTCCTTGTTCGATTCCATTAGGTCGGCGAGGCGGGCCATGAGGACGCCCCTGTCCGATGCCGATAGGCCTTTCCAGGCGGGGTTCTTCAGCGCCGCAGCAGCAGCTTTCACTGCCTTATCGACATCATCTGCGCTGGCTGCGTGGACTGATGCAATCTCTGCTTCTGTACTATGAATGATACTTATAAGTATGATACATGCAATAGAGGCTAGGTTCGCGAGACGACTGGACTTACGCCGGGTCAATAGCAGGAATAGTTTGCCCGGTGGATGAGGGCACGAATTCATTGTTAATGAAAAGGCCGGTTGGCTGAGTCCACTTCTGCCCGTTAGGCGCAGTGAGCTCAACAGTGAGATCTTCCATTCTATTTGCAAACCGTATAGAACTCGAGGAAGTAGCAACGCAAGAGTGTTTTGTGGCTTTTGCAGGTTAAGGGACGTTAGGATGAATGATACGGACGGCGAGGAGATGTGGGTTTGAACAGAGGCAAACTTCCGGGTAGGGCCTTATCGCACAGCATCCGCGTCAGATAAAGCTTTGCTTGCGCCACCTCCCCCGCAGTTGGCCGCAGTTGGCCGAAAGCTGATATCGGACAATATCTCCGTCATAAGGCCATTGGCTGACCTACCGGGAGTCTTTCCTTAGAGGTTGGCCTTCTTCTTTTTCAAGTCCAGAAGACGGCATGGAAATCTTACCTCTTTCAGTCTCCCAATGCAGACTTTCGATCTTCAGTTACTTGGATTGGGGAAGAGTGATGGTTTTAATCGGAATTATCACGGAGACTTCCCTCTCGTGAAGCCCCTGACGCTGTGGGGGTGACCTGCGGGGCATGGACCAAGAAATATGGAGGTATTGAGGGGTAGAAGTGCTGTAACAGTATAACCCTCTTCATGGTAGTTTCAGGGGGGAGGGTCACGGTTCGCAATGCTGGAAAGGCGCAAAGATTCGGATTAGATTGTGTCTAGGTTGTTTGAATTACCAAATGGCTCGAAGAGGTTTCCTATTTTCCATCGTTGACTTCTCACCTTATCTATTGCTGCTCATAGACTGCTTCACTGATTAAAGACGCCTCCCGTGCTACAGCTTTGGGGATCTCGTCCTCCAAGCTCTCTCCCGCGGGCACCCAGCCCAGCACCTCTTTGCCCCTGAGTGCTTCGCTGCGAGCATTTATTCTGTAAATCGCCGTTCCATACAGTAGCAGACTGTCTGTCTCCTCGGGATTAATCACAAAGACTAAAAACGCGTCGTGTTAGCGGTTGCTTTGGGATCGAGGCCGGTTGTTCACTCACGGTTTCCCGGACGCCAGCCAGGTACAATCCGTTCGAATTCCAGACTTGCTCCTCGCTCCTGACTTCAACCGCCTTCTCAACCAGGCGTAAGATTAACCGGCTGACGTCCTCAATGTGCACATTACCCCATCGGTTGAGGCCTTTGCCAACTTGCACGCCTCGTTTGCGGTCCAGCGTCGCCTTGGCTAGAGAAGGGATCTGAACGCTGCGCTGGTTGACAGGGCCGAGTCCTCGGCCGTGGATGATAGGAGGGAACACCAGTGCCGTGTTAATTCGCGGCTCACTCTCGCCATCTTTGATGACGTAGTTGTCTACGACCCGGCTTGGGTGTTTCTGGATGAAGAAGCGCGGCTCTTCGATCCCGGCAAGGTCGTCCTTGAAGACAAGGTCGCTTGCTTCGCCCAGGCAGCGGGTTTTGTCGGCGAGCTCCGCAGCGGTGAGGACACTGGCGCCGGATATTTGGATCCAATGCACTATTTAACAAGCATTTTGATGAGGATACAGCAGTAGTAAAACCTCAAAAAAATGTCAGTTAGCTATCTTGAGCCAAGTAGCTACGGTCGGCAAGAGTTGTTACGTCAACATCCAGTTGAGGATTTTTAACATCGCAGAGCAATGGAAACAGAACGAATTTGCCAGTCCTTCGTGGTATTAATAGCTCAAAGCAACGAAGACTGGGTGGCTGGGTCCATCTATTCTCCAGGTATCGAATAACAACTATCCAGCACTCTACATTAATGTCAGGGGAGCACCACATGTTCACTTACATACATGATCCAAAGGTTTTGCACCGAATCCATTGAGTCGTAAAGGAAGTCAAGTGATTCCAAAGGGTCTTCAATGCCCAACGATGCTTTAGGTTCGTTATTCTCGTCGCATTTAAGTATTTCGTGTCAGTTACAAGCTTATTACTAGTCAGTCAGTCCTGCCCGGCATCATCCTTGTCAATCTCAACCAGATCTAATCGACGTTCGTTGCCACCCACTGCGGTAGCGTCGAAGCGTACGCCCTTAGCTCGCGGAAACCTTCCCAAACAGCAAAAACAGGGGCCAACAAATATTGGCCAAGTGCTGTGTGCCATTATCAAGCTGCCGTTCTGTAACTTGCATCTCCTCTTCCCAATTGCAAACGCTCTCCTCCAACATCAACTTGCGCCTGTTAAACTCTGGATGATTTTGCTTGTTCCCCGATCAGCATGTATGAAGTGTCAGTAGAGCAGCCGAAACCAGGCTATAGGAAAACAAGCCTGATTTGTTTCTCGCCCCTCTACTTTCCTCGCCAAGTTGCTAAGTTAGATATTGTCCTTATCGTCACCCCTTTTCTGCTTCCCTTTTACAATGCCCATCAGATCACTGACCAGGTCATCCAAACCCGGGCATGGCCCGGTCTCAAGAGAAAAGCCAACAGCCATAGCCAGCGTCAGCGCAAAGAAAGTCCTACACTCTAGAACTTTCACAAGCTGTCGCATCTGCGGAAACCGCCATCTAAACTTCTTCGCAGAAGCCTCGACCTTTTCTGCAAAGGCTACTGTGGCCAGCTTCTATGGGTTTCACACCCCCTATGCTTGGCCGAGCATAAGGATAGTCATCGCAGTACATCGTACCGATACCCCATCTTTAACGAGGACGAGAGAAAGTCGATGATTTTTTATGCTGCAGAAAGCATGGGAGGTCGGTCTGCAGGTGAAATTGTTTTCGATATTGACGAGAGGAGCTTTCATGATGATTACACCCACGTGGCGCTGCTGCATCTGAGCTAGGTAGGAAAAGATGGGCTGAGGGTGCCCAGTTGAAGACATACCTTCTTGGCACGACAACTTGTACACTGGAAGCAGATGAAACGTCAGAAAGGAAGGTTTCTGCAAAGATGTAATGCTGCTGTTAGAAGCGGGACAGGTGCCACTGGTTTCAAGACCGTAGTAGACCTTGGGACGAGGCTCGTGGGGAGTGCGGGCTTACTGAGAGACCGCTTCCACAACCCCTTGCCGATCCATCTGAACGCAAAATCCGGAGTGCCAATGTACAGGATGGCCAATATTGGTGCAAATAGGTACAAGACGAAAATAAATGTGACAGACAGGGGAAGAGACACAAACCTAATGAAAGTGTCTGGGGAGTGGATGTATGACGGGACTAGGGTTGAGATCATTAACGTCAGACGAAGTTCTTGCCTGTACATCCCTGAAGATCGGGCGAGAGTTTGGTTTTTGGAAACAAGTCAATTAATTAACACGCAAATCTCACACAATATGCTTAACTCATCGATAGCTTCCTCAACCAGGACCAGAAGTAACGTCCACTACGACACCCATGGTGTGACACACTTTGTGAGCTCCACCTGAACGGCAATAACGGTTTCCGGTCCTCCGGATCTTCGCACTTGCCCTGCTCTTTTGTTCTACCAATGACGTGCCCCGCCGGTAACTGCGATGGAAAGAAGGGCAGTTTGCACTTTCCGAGACGACGACATCGAAACGCTTTGCTGCACCACAACGACCCAACATACCTCACTTTAGTAGCTACCTACCCATGGAAACTTTGACGTTCAAACCCCCTTCGTCAGAGTGGATGTCAGCATGCCCGACCGTTGAAAGTATGTCGACCATCACGACGACCTCCGTACGGATCGGATTAATCCAGCAACGCTGCAAAGAACTCCGTGCGTCGAGCCACCAACACATCCTACAATTCATTCTGTGCCATTCCCACCTGATGGGGTCTTCACCTCGAAGGAAAACTCGAATTCTGATTTCTATCACTTGTCCAGTTGATTTGTGGCATCTTTGTTGTTAGAAAAGGCCTAGAACCGAGATCGGTTTGAATGTTGCTGCCCTCGATCAACATGCTTGCTCCCGGTTTTCCGGGTCCGGATGGGACAGCTGCCGAACCTCATATCACTCGATTCGATTCCGACACGACTCTCGTTATCTCTTCAGATGCCAACGAGGTCGCCGAAGGAGAGATACATGACTTGGCCAAGCGCCTAACCTCCGCATCTCATGGAGGTGTCCACTCGTTGTTTCCTGGGCCCTCCGATGCCACAATCGATCCCAAGGATCCGAAATTCGACGCCAGAAAGTGGGCTGCGGCATTCTACAGGCTCCAGACTGAAGCACTTCACGGAAATGCTCCAAACACGGTTGGCCTGGCTTTTAAAAACTTGCACGTCTACGGACTGGGCACAACAAGCGACTACCAAAAGACCGTTGGCAACTTCTTCCTGGAGGCTGCAGCGCGACTTATGCAGTCAAGGAAGAAACAGCGAAATGACATCTTGCACAACTTGGAGGGCGTCATCCAGAGCGGAGAAATGCTTGCTGTACTGGGACCTCCAGGATCTGGCTGTACGACTCTGCTCAAGACGATCGCTGGTGAAACCCACGGTTTCTACGTGGCCGATGGTGCAACGCTCAACTACCAAGGCATCTCGCCAGAGGAGATGAAGACGACTTTCAAGGGAGAGGCCATTTACACGGCAGAGTTTGACCATCATTTCCCGTCCCTGACCGTCGGTGAAACGCTCTACTTTGCTGCCCGGGCACGCTATCCCCAAAACATGGCTCTTCCAGACGGCATCTCGAAGCACAAGTACGCCGAGCATCTTCGTGACGTCGTCATGGCACTCCTTGGCATCTCCCACACAAATGACACTAGAGTTGGAGATGACTTTGTGCGCGGCGTGAGTGGTGGAGAGAGAAAACGGGTCAGTATTGCCGAGGCAGTGCTGAGCTACGCTCCTCTCCAGTGCTGGGACAACAGTACTAGAGGGCTTGATTCGGCCAACGCCATCGAATTCTGCCGCACTCTTCGCATGCAAGCAGACGTCTTTGGATTCAGCTCCGCTGTGTCCATTTACCAGGCGCCACAGGAAGCATACAATGTGAGTTTACAACATCCCTGGACTTTATCTCTTTGCCCCATTGCGAGTCGTCAACGCTGAAACATTTTATAGCTCTTTGACAAAGTCATTGTCCTTTACGAGGGGCGTCAAATATTCTTTGGAAAGACTACCGACGCCAAACTGTATTTCGAAAGCCTTGGCTTCCGGTGTCCCGAACAGAAGACCACCGCTGACTTTCTGACTTCCATGACGAGCTCTTCCGAAAGGGTTGTGCACCCCGATTGGAAAGGACAAACGCCGCCGAGGAGCCCTGACGAGTTTGCCCGGGCTTGGCAAGCCAGCGAGCATCGAAGACGCCTTCTGGTCGAGATAGATGAATTCGAGTACGAGTTTCCCTTCGGTGGCAACACCTCCAAGCAATTCTCCGCCACTCGGAGAGTACATCAATCGAAACGACAAAGACCTTCTTCGCCTTACACCTTGTCCTTTTTGCAGCAAATTGGTCTAAACCTATGGCGGAGTTCCAGGCTCTTAATCAGCGAACCTTGGATGACTATCACCATGTTGACAACAAACTGCTTCGAGTCCCTCATCATCTCGAGTATTTTCTACAATCTGCCTCCTAACTCCTCTAGTCTATACAAGCGGCTCCTTCTCATCTTTTACGCCATACTGATAAATGCCATGGGTAGTATCTTGGAAGTTCTCACTCTCTACGGCAAGCGAAAAATCATTGAAAAACATGCCCGATATGCTCTCTACCACCCAAGTGCCGAGGCGGTTGCTGCCATGGTTGTCGACCTTCCATACAAACTCGTCAACTCTCTCTTCATCAATGTCCCGATTTATTTTATGACGAACTTACGCCGCGACTCTGCCGGACCGTTCTTCTTCTTCCTCCTACTTTCCTTGAGCACGACCATCTCCATGTCAATGATATTTCGATTCCTCGGTTCTATCACCAAGACAATGGCGCAAGCGCTGGCTCCTTCTGCTATCATCCTTTTAGGTTTGATACTGTTTAGCGGATTTTCCATTCCTCAAGCTTACTTGAGTGACTGGATGGGCTGGATTCGCTGGGTCAACCCCGTATTCTACGTCCAGGAGAGTCTTGCCCTAAATGAATTTGTCGGTCGCAACTTCAGTTGCTCAAATTTCGTCCCTAGTGGCCTCAGCTACGACACCTCGTCTGCTAGATCTAATGAGCGGGTTTGTGATATTGGTGGAGCTGTTCCTGGTTCCAACTCCATCAACGGAGACGACCACCTTCGTGTAGTTTACGGCTTTGTCGATGGGCATCGTTGGCGCAACTTTGGCATAGTAGTTGCTATCACTATCATTTTCATGACTATGTATCTTGTTGCCGTTGAGCTGGTGTCATCCGAAAGGTCTCAGGGCGAGGTTCTTCTATTCAACCGTCGAGCGTTAAGAAACGTGAAGAGGGGTCCAAACGACGACGAAAACCTTGGGGGGAACCACCCATATCCGGTTGTTGAGAAATCTGAAGACAGCGACAGCTCTGGCCTTGCGAAACAGACTTCTGTGTTCCATTGGAAGAATGTTTGCTACGATGTGCAAGTCAAAGGAGAGACTCGCCGGATTCTCGATCAGGTTGATGGATGGGTGAAGCCCGGGACCTTGACTGCGCTCATGGTGAGTCTACAACTCATCGTCGATCTATGTTGGCCATTTCCTGACAAGAACCTTACCAGGGCGTTTCGGGAGCCGGCAAGACGAGTCTGCTTGATGTTTTGGCAAGTCGCGTAACGATGGGTGTTGTCAGTGGCGAGATGCTTGTTGATGGTCATCTTCGGGATTCCTCGTTCCAGCGCAAAACTGGATACGTGACACAACAGGATCTCCACCTCCACACGGCGACCGTCAGAGAGGCCCTAAACTTCAGCGCATTCTTACGCCAGCCTCGGCAGTACAGCCGGGAGGAAAAGCTGGCGTATGTTGATACTGTTATCGACCTTCTCGGCATGCAAGAGTATGCCGACGCTGTGATTGGAGAGTTGGGCGAGGGCCTCAACGTCGAACAGCGCAAACTTCTAACGATTGGCGTTGAGCTGGTGGCTAGACCACAGTTGCTTCTCTTTCTGGACGAACCAACATCGGGGCTCGACAGTCAAACTTCGTGGTCCATTTGCGATCTGATGGAAAAGCTAACAAAAAGCGGCCAAGCGATTCTTTGCACCATTCACCAGCCATCGGCATCGCTTTTCCAGAGATTTGATCGATTGTTGCTGCTTGCTGAAGGTGGGCAGACGGTCTACTTTGGTGACATCGGGAAGAACTCGCATGTTCTTCTCGACTACTTCGGTCGGCACGGTGCCCCGGGCTACCAACCCGGATCGAATCCCGCCGAGTACATGCTCGAAGTCATTGGAGCAGCCCCTAAGGCCCACACTGATATAGACTGGCCAAATGTTTGGCGGAAGAGTGAAGAGTACCAGAGTGTCCAAAGCGAACTAGGAAGACTATCGGAGCACAAGAGTCATAGAGATACCAGGCAGACGACGGAAACTCGTGATACCTCGGCACACGAGGAGTTTGCCGCGGATCTTCGTGCCCAGATCCACGAAGTGACGAAGCGAGTATTCCAGCAGTACTGGCGTAGTCCGTCGTACATCTTCTCGAAATCCATTGTCACTTGTGGTTCAGTGAGTGCATCCCATTTTCTGCGGCCTGCAGGCACTGACCAGATGAAATAATAGGCGCTTTTCATTGGATTGACGCTCCTGGGGGGCGACAACACGAAGGGTAGCCTCAAGAACCAAATGTTCGGGGTTTATACCTTTCTCTTCATCTTCAGTCAGATTGTCCAACAAATCATGCCAGTTTTTGTGTCCCAACGCACAATGTACGAAGCCCGCGAGCGTCCGGCCAAGTCGTATTCTTGGAAAGCTTTCATAGCCGCCAACATCATAGTTGAAATTTTTTGGAACTCTGTAAGTCTGCTTCACATTTTTTGGCTGATACCAGTAAGATTTTAAACGTATGATAACTAGATCATGGCTGTCTTCTCCTTCCTTTTGTGGTTCTATCCAATGCGACTTGATCGAAACGCGGAATGGACTGACGCTGTTCACCCTCGCGCCGTCACTTTTTTTCTCATCTGTTGGGTTTTCTTTTTGTTCTCCAGCACGTTTGCGCACCTCATGATTGCCGGACTGGGCAGTGCCGAGGTCGCGGGTGGCATCATGAACTTGGCCTTCATTTTGATGTTTGCTCTCTGCGGGTATGTTACTCCTTCTCACTCTTTGACACTATGGAGAGCTCAACTGATGTTGTAACAGTGTGTTGGCGGGCCCCCACGAGCTTCCTGGCTTCTGGATCTTCATGTATCGTGTCAACCCTTTTACATACCTCATGGAAGCATTCCTCAGCACTGGCCTGGCCAATGCGCCCGTTATGTGCAGTTCGACCGAGCTTCTCACATTCGATGCTCCGAGTGGCCGTACTTGCGGCGAGTATATGGCCGAGTACATCAAGAACAATGGTGGATACCTGGTCAATAACAACGCCAGTGAGTGTCAATTCTGTGGCATGGCAGATACAAACACGTTCTTGTCGGACATGAATATGAGCTTTGATAACCGATGGCGCGACTTTTGGTTAATTTGGGCTTTTTGCGTGTTCAACATCGTTGCGGCGGCGGCTTTGTACTGGGTTGCGCGGGTACCCAAGAATGATTTCAAGAAACGTTCACCGTTGAATGCTTGATTCGCATAGAGCACAATGCATTGGTCGAATTAATCTACGAGATCGTTAAGTTAAGCCTATGTTAGGAGGAATGGTTATTAGATGTCATAATTAGATTCTTTGGGTAACTTGGATCGCGGGCTTGGAGACCCGGGATAGTTACTCTACTTGTATTGTGTCACATAACCAAAAACAACGCCGTTAGTTACGGAGCAGTAACTTACGCTTATACATCTCGTGGCATCTTGGTAGCCCCTTTGTGTGAACTGAGGAGAAGCAGTGAAATCATCTATAACAAAAATTTACGCTTTCTGTTTTCTCGGAATGTCCGTAAAGATTCCTCAATACAGATTCTAGGCTGAGGTCTAGAGCTTATGTCTCATAGGTCCGGGCTGATACAAGCATTGCTTACTTGCTATGTTGGATCGATCGGCGATGAAGGGCTCTTTATCGAGCAACTTCATCCCTGCTTTAGCATTTGACCGAAGGACTTTGAGAATCATAGGATCATCGGTCGCCTATAGTAAACACATACATAATCTGTTCCAGACTAGGGTTTGACGTAAGCTGATTGTTCAGCAGCCATGGTACGAAAGGCAAGTCGGGCTGAGAAGGATTATGCCAAGCCAAATAATCTGCACTACAATGCAACCCTTCCCGCTTCCTGGTATAATATATAATGTGTTCAGGGCGTAAAGGTGCGTAAGTCGGTTACCAAAGTCCCATTCCCCCGTCATGCATACGCTGCATCTCATGGTGAATACGATCAATCTGTTGGCTTCACTACAACGCTGTCGCGACGCCCTGCTGGCCATGGGAACCATCCGGGGCAGTCTGGGCCACCAGTTAGCAGCGCCAATAATCAAGGCAGTATGTGTGATTATTCCACAATGCCGAAAGATAGCTGAGTTGAGTACGCAAGTGTTTACTACAAATTTTGTCGATTCAGATGTTGAATGCGACAGGAAGTCCTCTCCCTCAAGCCAGGGGCAAGATATCCTTGCTTGAGGGGCGGGATAAGGCAATCGGATCATGCAGAAACTGTCACTTCTCAAGCGGCTTCATGTTGGGGCTTTGAATGTGCCATGCGTTCCTAAAATCTGACTCTAGGGAAATCGGCTCTGATTGGCTATTATACCGCTCTTGGCGGCTTTGGCGTTCTTTCGCAGAGATACGGATGCAGTGGTAGAGCACATCTTGAGATACGCCCGGGATACGAGTGCCAGATATTGACAATGCAGGGATGGGCTTCTCTAGAGAGAAGGATTAGGCCAAGCTCCCACGAGCTATATAAGAGTCGAGGAAAGCCGACCAAGGAGTGCTGTCTAGCTTGCTCTTGTCTTATCACCATCTTCCAATCCTCGTTATCAACAATACTAGGCCCAGAGATACCAAACGCAATGCAGCTCTCCGTTCTCCTCGGCGCTTCCTTCGTGACCGTTGCCACGGCCTCACTTCCCCCCATCAACTTGGGGTACTACGCCCTCCCGCAGCGCGTCAACCAGATCGTCGCCTGGTCGCCCTTCACCCCGACCACGACCCAAGAGCTCCTCGACGTCTGCAACGAGCAGGGCCCGGCATTCGGCACGCCGACGTGGACCGTCATCCGGGCGGCCAGCACCTTCGCCTACGAGCCCATCTGCCGGAACCCCTTCAGCATCACCGACACTGACACCAACACCACCTACAACGACCTCGAGCTGGCGTGCGTCGACGACGACATTGACTATAACTTGTCGCCACAGGTTACTGCCGTGGTCGACAGGGCTACAAACAAGGCGGTCCAGACCTGCGTTTCGTTGCAGTCGGACGGCCGTGGTTTGTTCACGAATTGCGGAGGCGGCTTCTCCTCGGCGCTCTACTACGATTACGCCTGCACAAGCATTTAGGGGCATGATGGCGTACTTCCAATCGTAGTTGCAAGGGGCGAATGAGGCTTTGCAGCTCGGCGCATTGACCGGTTCAACACTACCACCGTCGGCAGTTGTATATATCTATCCTTCTCAGCGATGGGAAATAGACTGTTTCTCTGAATCGTGGATACATGTCATTGGCCAAATCACTCATCACAATATGAAATAAAAGGGGCCTCTTGGAAGGCTGCCTGAGCCTGTCCCGTCAACTCTGGTTCTATAGCTCTGGCGGTCTCTGTGTTGCCGCTGGTTTTGTTCCGCTTACACCCGCCCCCCCCTAAAGCCGGCTAGCTTGGCTGCCCACGCCAAGTAGAGTCGAGTAAAGTCGCATCCGTCATGGGAAACACACCAATTCAGGCAGGGCACAGGTACGGATAGTTAGTATCTCTTGACAAGCAGAGATGACGACGCGATGGAACCGTATCAATCCGAGCGCTGATTAAAGGTCTCTCTAGTTGAAGTCAAAAAGCTTAGTGCTGCGCTCGAACCCAGTCACAGGCACTTGGGACAAGGGAAAGCGCCCGCTGTCAGAAGCAAGCCATGCGCTGCTCGGGAGAAGGCCTTGTAACCTGTAAAGACGGCCCTTCGGTATAGTTCACTCTCATTAGCGGTATACATCGTGCTTCTCACATTGTGTTCCAGTCTCCTTGCTCGAAATCGACACATGCGTGTTGTTCGCTAGTCAAATGTAATCTTGGTACCGGTATGCTTCGCCGCCGCACCCGTCAACCTCGCGACCATGATGTCGTCCTGCGCCTTGAGCTCGCCCGCCGCTGGCTTCGGCTTCTCCGTCCTCGGGGGCCGCGGGGCTCTCGGCTTCCTCTCCTGTGTCGGCGCACCGTCCGCACCCCCCTCGGTGTCTTCGCCGTTCTGCTGCTGTTGCCTCTTGGGCGCATCCTTGCCGAACCGCTTTTTGTACCGTGTCTGGTCGTCCTCGGCGAGCTCGATCTTGAGCATGCGGCCGAGGAGCTTGTTGACCCACCACTTCCTCATTTTGAAACGCGGCTCCTCGGCCGTCTTCTTGTCCTTCGCCTCGTCCCCTGCCTCTTCCTCCTCCTCCTTCATCTCGTCGTCGCCGTCCTTGTCCTTGGAGGATTCGACAAAGTCGTCCTCTGTCTCAATCTCCTCCTTGATCTTAACAAAGCCCTTGACAGCCCAGCCGGCAGACTCGGGTTCGCGGAACTTGACCCAGCCGTAGCCCTTGCACTTGCCTGTGTCCTCAAAGGTCGCGACCTTGACCCAGTCGATCTGCCCGCACTTTTCGAAATGCTGCCACACGTCGTCATCGGTCGTTTTGAAGCTCAGGTTGCCGATGAAGATCTTGCTGCTCTTGGGGACCTCTTCCTTGGCAGCGACGGCGGCGGTCTCCTCCTCCTTCTTCGGCCGGCCCTCGAACGATTTGGAGTCCTTGATCAGGAGCTTGCGGTGGCCCAGCTCGGCCTCGGTCAGGGCGATGGCGGCGACTTTGGGCGCGACATCGTTGAAGTCGACATAGGCAAAGCCTTTGTTCGAGGGCTTGTCGCGGCCGGCCTGCTTGGTTGACGGCAAGTGCAGTCTCGTGATGGACTCTTCGGTAATCATCTCGCCCGAATTGGCGATAAGCCACTTGCGCAGGTCGTCAGCGGTGACGAAGAAGGGCAGGTTGCCGATCCACACGCCGTGCTCGGAGCGGGCCTTGGCGGCCTGGTCCTTCTCCTCCTTCTCCTTCTTTTTAGCCTTCTTCTCATCATCGCTGTCGACTTTGGGGGGCAGCTTCTTGCCCTTCTTCAGAAGACGTTTGGCGCGCTTCGAGGGGGGCTCGGGAGCCTCGAGGTCAACCTCGATCTCGTCGACGACAACCGACTTGCGCTTCTTGGACTCGGGAGACTGTGATGTCGCATCTTCGGTCTTCGGCGTCTTGGACGGTTTCTCCGCTCCTGTGGTGGCCATTGTGAGAACCTGATTGGTGGTTCTCCGGGATGTTCCAGAATCGGTCACTCCAGAATCCGGAAGGCTTGGTGGAAGCGACGGTGAGAAACTCGCATCGGGGCCTCTGCCGCTTGCACCCTTGGCCTCGAATTTTTTTCATCTTTTTCCCTTCTGGTCTTGGATTGGAATCGACAATCGATAAGGCGATAAGAGTGCTGGTGGATGGAATAACCCCACTCTATCTATTATGGGGCTTGTGCTCATCGAGGTCAAGGCTGCTAAGCTCGGGCCACAGAGAAAGTACCTTTTGGTGAATCAGTACCTGGCAGTATTTTTGGGCTGCACAGAGCTACATAGGTAGGTACTTACTTACCTAGGTGGTAAGATACCTAGGTAAGTCGGCAGTAAACGCTGAGTGTCTGGAAGGTGGTTGGGATTTGAACCAAAGTTGCGCCCTGCATTTGTTCGCCACGTTTCTGTTGGTTGGTACACGACTAAGGTGCGAGATGCGGACAATAACCTGGTTGCCAGGATGAAGGAGAAAATGCGGTGACTGAGATAGTTCGCAAGGATTTGTCTGAGTGCCTCTCCCTTTGACTTGGCGTATTAACATCAAGTTACTCCGTATCTTGTTTTGATTCTAGGAAAGACAAGCATAACGCAGCATGGATAGGCCAATGTAACGCAAATGATGAGATGCTACCATACCTGGTATCGCATACGAGTGCCAATCAAGCACTTGTCGTCAAGGACAATGAGGGACATCCACCCGTAGCCGAGGCGCGCCAGCCTTCGCTTCTCAGGGAATATTGCTTAGCACTTTAACGAGTTAGAGGGGTTGATAACCTTCCATGGATGATGATGCGAAGGGGGTCGACCCGCGACCCGCTTTGAGTTGAAGATTAAGCGACCCGCCAACGCTTGTGGGTTCTGCCAAGCCATGTTCAGCCACGTCCCGAGAGGGGAAAAAAAAAAAAGGAGAAGAAGAAAAGTGCAGCCGCTCAGCCAGCTTTGAGTCGTGCGTGTAGCTGACTACCTAGGTAGGAAAAAGCGACTCAGGCACACACTAGCCCAGCTCGTAGACGCAGAAGCAAAAGCAAAAGCAGAAGCAGAAGCGGAAGCAGAGACGGAGACAAGCCCCTCTCCGCCACCATAACAAGCCACAACAGCCATAGGGGAGAGACTCCCCTGTCATCCACTCACGTGCGGATGATTTCTGACGAATGAGGGACCCACCAGTCGCCTAGGCGAAACCGCCAATGGCCGCCATCCAGACTCTCCACCCCTGGTCACAACAACTTTTCGCAAAGATCCTGACAAGGTACCTACCTCTATAGTACGCACCTGCTAGGTACCGCATCCTCCCCAAGGCTGCTGTTTCGGCATAGGGCATCCATCGGGCCCTTGACCGCTTGTGTTTAATATCGCAAGCGGCTTGCAGCAGCCCGACCGAGCGGCACTGCACCCTCTCTGAGTTCTTCCCCGTCTAGCTCGGCCCAATGACAGCGGCCGCTGAGGAGTCTTGTGGCTCCCCCGAACACCTCCCAAGCCGCCTCAATCCACTTCTCCCGTTCCTCTCTTCCTCTGTGGCCTTGTATGTATACGTATGCTACACACTAGGAGATATCTTGGTAGTGATCCGTATACGCCATCCAAAAACTACTTACAGTACTTACAAGGGGGGCAGGCTGCTCTGTGTACACGGAGAGTGGATAGGTCGATCCTATGTTAACTAGAAATCCAGCCAACGCACGTTGCTTAGCTGGGTCACAGTGGTCCAGTGATCCAGTTGCAGCACCAGACCCGGTGCCTCAGACCCCAGAGCGAGGTGAGAAAGGGTGCAAGGTCCAGCAGGTCCAAGGCCTGAAGAGAGGCGCCAAAGGGGGAAAAGCTCCTCTTTTCCCTCCTTTCCCCCTTCACATTCCCGCTCCCTCCCCAGCAGTCAGTCGCCTTCATCGTCCCTTCTTCCCTTTTGCCCAAATCCTACTTCTTTTCCCCTCACATCCACACTCTCACCTACATATCAATCAAAAAAAACAACGCCGCCCGAACTCCTGCTCCTTCTAGAAACCCCCATCCGAAACCTCAAATCATTCAAAGGATCCCGTCTTCTGGTCGCATCTGGATTGTTGTCGTCGTAGTCGTCGTCGTCGTCGTCGTTGGTCGCAAGCGTCGTCGTCATCCAGAGTCAAAACGCTGGAAACCTCCCCCTCGGCTCCGATCCCCGATCTCTCTTCGGAATCAGCCCAACCAAATATGAATGTGCTGCTATCGCCACAACCACCTCTCTTCCAGCACCCTCACGAAGCCAACCGTATCTCGCCCTCTCGTTCTTGTGAGTAATTTCTGCCGCTCTCGTTTGCACATGGGGGGGAGGGGTTTTTTTGCCCCTCTCCCTGCGCAGGCAAATTAATTTCCTGCATGCCCGAAAACCCAACAACCCGACGCTAACTCTCAAACAGTGAGCCCATTTCACAACATGTCCACCAGCCGCAAGCGCAAGGCCGACGAGGATGGCGACGAAATGTCTATGTCTCCCCGAAGTTCCCCAGCCGCCTCATCAAGACAACTCCAGCGACCCTCGAAAAAGGTCCGCTCCAACGAGCTAGTTGGCCGGCCACTCACCCTCCCCCGACTGCTGGAAACTCTGGACCCGACCGCCCTGCGAACCGTCCTCGAGCGAATCTGTGAGCGACATCCGGACATCGGCCAGGAAGTGGTCAGCAGTGCCCCTCGCCCGACCGTCGCCGCTGCACACGGCGTTTTGCAGGAGTATCAAGACAAGATGAAGGCCGCCATCCCTTACGGCGAGACCAGCCCCGACTACACCTACTACCGCGTTAAGGCGCCCATGACCGCCCTCATTGACGCTCTCCTCGATTTCACCCCTCAGTACCTGCCGCCAAACGAGACCCAGACAACCGTCTCGCTGCAATATCTGGATGGCGCCACCAAGATCATCCACGCTCTCCCCGACTGGGAGCCCCAGCAGTACCGGCACCACAAGGAGAATGCATACGATGAGATCTCTAAGGCCTGGGCCCTGGTCATCAACGAGGCAGCCAAGCGCGGGGGCGGCCTGAGCCTCCACACGGGAGGGTGGGACCAGACCCTGGCGAAACACCACGAGATCTCGGGCGGACGCATGGGCACGGCGATGAACGCGATGGCCACGAGCGTCAGTTGGATGGCACACGGCGGCTCCTCAAACGGACAGCAGCCCGGAAACCCATCCTCGGATCAGAACTCAATTCTCAACCAGCTCATGTCTGGCACCTACGGTGCGCCCGTGCGTGTCGGGCCTTGGTAGAAAGCAGGAAAAGTGAGAAACCAATCCGCATGTCCATAACCATGAGGCCAAGGGAAAAAAAAGAACAAGACAAAGAAAAAGACTACTACGAAAGAAACTGGCACCCATCATGAGATATCGGTCACGGTCGATAGCATCACCCACCTGGACATATCACGACGACTATAACGACGGCTTCCTTTTCATCTAATTTCCTCCATTACTTCATTCAGCATGGGGCGGCAAAGGGCATAGACTTCTGAGTCCTGCGGACAGATTTATGTCAGGACCGGTTCGGGCTGGACGGCGTTTTTTTTTTTCCCCTGTCAATCTTCTGATCGATGATATCCCTTTCCTGTCGCTTGCTGCGAGTCATTCCCGGGGTGAAGAGGAACGGCTTTCATCACTGCCTCTCTTCATCACCACCATGGTTGACGAGGAAATCGAGTCATGCACACTTTCGCATGTTAGGTAGTCTGCTTTTTTTGTAGGATTCAAGGAAAGCATCTAGGGAACAGCAAGCAATCCATGGTCCCGCCCACTTGGGAGAGTTTACGTCTAAGCAATACGCACATAATTACGGGCCCTTGGTAGCAATAGTAGGTAGTACTAGTAGTAGCAGTGGTCCGGGGCCCGGCTGCGACGGAATGAGAGTGCATTTGGACATCGCATCGAGTAATGGAATCGTAGCATGGTGTGAGAAGTGTAAGAAGTGTGAGGGTTGTAGCATGGCAGAGAATGGTTTCACAGCAGCCCGCTGGCTGGTTCCCTCATGTTAGGATTAGGTAGCATGGGCTTCAAAGGCATTTGGCACGTTAAATTCATACAGGAAGAATGCTTACGTGTACCTCCCTGCCCATCGTCGTGAGCCGCCCATTTGTGTGTCCAAGACGGCAGATCTGTTTCAACTGCCCACTTAGTCGGTGCCACGCATGCAGGCCGTTGATGGGGGTGGTGGGTTTCTTGGTAAAGCGCCTGCAGGCAATTACTAGTAACTAATCCTACACAGCATGCGTGTTTGCGTCAGTTCGTTTGACTGTTGCAACACTTTATTGTCCAAAGAGAGTGCAATCAGATGAGTTTGCATTAGTGACCTGATGCACCCCTCCCTCCGTGTGTGCCTGATTGATCACCAACCCGTAACCGAAGCCGGGTCAGACACGGCACCTCATGATCATCGTCCCTTGTATCTGTTACTCGGCCGAATATGAGCCTAAGCCAGCAAGCAGCTGGGCAATCCGCTTTCCCAGTTCGTGCGCTCGGGTCGTGGCACGCCAGTACACTCTCTCACAACCATGTGGTTCGTGACCATATCCCTGCTCAGTTCTGTGTTGGTGCATTCGCTACGGTCTGGGTTGCTCGGTTGTGTTTTTTGCTGGATGAAAATTTGATATATATTAATGATGATAGAGGAATGAGACGAACTCGAGGAAGTGCACCTCTCCCGCTTGCGGTGCTGAGATTGGATCCTACCGATCACGAGAGATGCGCACTCTCTCCACGCGGAGGGTAAGGCGCCTCCAGCAAAAGCTTCATTTGGCGGGGTAGGTTTGTGGAGGTACTCCAACCGTTCCCCGTTCGGACGACAGCCGCAGTGAACTCTGATGTTCGATTCTAGCCCTCCTCGGGTACATTGTGTGCTGAGGAGTACCATGGTACCTGCTGAAACCCCAAAACTCCAGGTACGGTTCAGGCGGTAGGCGGCTCAACTAAGGTTTAGGGGGGTTCTTACATCATCCTCTCTGGCTGGGTCACATGACCACCCGTCATTGTTGCCTCTCGCCTCGACGCGTGAGAGGCGAATGCTTGCGTGAACGCGCCACTCGAGCTTGCTCCTCATCTAGGCAGACGGCGCGCACCAAGTCGACTCTCGACAGCAATACCTCCACCTTTGAGGGTTTTCCTCTGTCTGTCAAGCTTCTTCCAAGCATTGAAGATTCCGACGTAACAAAAACAACGGACGTCGAATTTAGCAAGATGCCCGCGTAGGTTGCTGTCGTCCATACGCGCGTCTTGTCCACTAACAATGTTGTTTCTAGCCCGGGCGATCAACACGGCACCGTGGCGAACCCTTTCGAAGAGCCCCAGAGGCGAATGAGCGAATACACGGCCCAAGAAATTGCTACCCTGCAAAGTCGTCTAGAGAAGCAGCTCGGCCCCGAGTACATATCCGCACGCGCCGGCCCTTCAGGTCAGAAGGTCCACTACATCGCCGCCGAGAAGTGCATCGCCCTCGCGAACGAGGTTTTTGGCTTCAATGGATGGTCCTCGTCCATTCAGAACATTCAGGTCGACTTCGTCGACGAACACCCGCAGACCATGAAGATCAGCCTGGGCCTGTCCGTCATCGTCCGCGTGACGCTCCGCGATGGCACGTTTCACGAGGACATTGGGTACGGCCACATTGAGAACTGCAAGGGCAAGGCGGCCGCTTTTGAGAAGGCTAAGAAGGAGGGTACCACGGACGCGCTGAAGAGGGCGCTCAGGAACTTTGGCAACGTGCTCGGTAACTGCATCTACGACAAAGACTACCTCTCCAAGGTGACCAAGATGAAGGTCGCTCCGACTAAGTTCAACGAGACCGAGCTGCATAGGCACTCCGATTTTACCATCAAGAAGGAGGAGGAAAAGGCGGCGGCGGCGCCGCCGCCGCCACCACCACCGGTCAAGTTAGAGACGGCGGAATCGATCGAGGACCTGCTTGAAGGTGGGCTGTTTTGGTTGGTGTAATGAACGAATCCCGTTACTGACATGCCTAGATTTTGACGAGGCCGACTTTGCCGTTGTCGAAAGCGATCACCCGGATGAAGTGGTGCTTCCCACCGTAGCAAATGGCGCTTCGAACGATAGCCCCGCGGGCGTTACGCCAGCCCCCGTCCCCCAGCGTATGCAAGCCCCGTCCCGACAGATGGGCAGGAGCACATCGACAGGGAACCTACGAGCACCTCAGACACCAAATCAGGCACAATCGCGCCAGGTCCCTCCAATAGGCTACGGCAACCGGCCCCAAGCACCAAACCAACCCCGCGCACCAACGAACCCGTCCGCTCCGTCCGCTCCGTCGGCCCCTCCAGCCAACGGAAACATGACCACGCCAGGGCAGGCCGGCAACGCCGCCGAGCCCATTGGCTTTTTCTCCGCACGTGCCGTACAGCAAATCCCGGAATCTGCTTTGCAGGCGAACAACACTGACACGCCTCTTCTGCTGCCAGCCGGGCAACAAGCCTTCAATCCAAAGGCAGAGAGCCCATCCATACGAAAGACCCCCGGCATAGACCACTCCGTTTCAAAGCCCCTCTCCAGGTCTGGTCAGCACGTCCCGCCCACTTCATCACAGCAGACTTCGACATCGGGCTTCACACCAGTCAAAATGAGCAACGCAGGGCCCGGCCCCGGGGGGGCTACCGTTGCACAGCACCTGCAGCTTAGCCAGAGTCGACGGATTGGAGCTCCAGGGGGCGCAGGTAGTCCCTTGGCCAACCGGGGCTCCTACCGACCACCGACCATGAAGCGCCCGCTGCAACAAGACAGTGCCGGAAGGCCAGCATTGGCTGACGTGTCAACCAATGGAGCGACGGGCAATGCTCCTGGTGTACAAGGATTTGATCCCAAAAGGCAAAAGATGGCATGATTTGCATCTCTGGCATGACGAGTGTAGCTGGGAGACTGTGCTTTGGCCATGAGCTTTGGAGTCTGGTTCGATCGGGTATGGGTAAAGGAGTCGGAGTTTTGGCAGGGTCGATATAGGCACGTCTAGCCTATGGTGTCTGAGACAGATTATGGAGTGTGACGAATAAATTTTCCTTCTCTTCGTTGGAAGAGACCGCGGCGCTGTAAACGTCCTGCCTCGTTGCACCCTGAAGTCTTTGTGGTTTCTGCCGCGACTACCAGGTGCCATTTCTGGGCCCTCTTGCGTAGCTTCCATGGCTTTGAACTGAAAAGCCTCAACGTGAGATTATTTCTACTCAAACCCTTGTGTCAGAGCACAGCAACTGGTATCACTGGGTCGTGGACATATCGGAGAAGGCGAAGGGGGGGGGGGGGGGGGTGGCAATGGTTCAGCTTCTCGCTTGGTCCCCAGAGTCATGCATGTGTTTGGGGCTGACAGGCCTTCTCCTATGACATCTTTAAAGCAAGACAATCCGGCTGAGCCCGTTGGTTAGCTTGGCTTGAGGCATGGATCACACACGCCGCGTGGTACTTTTTGGTGTGCATTGCTTGACACCGTTGATCAGCACTAAAGATGCGGTTATTCATAAGGATACGGCTTTGTTGGACGTGTGTTGCTCCGGGAAGCTCAGGACGCCCGTGTTTTTGGCCTGAGTTATTGGCGTCTAGGCGTCTTTGGCAGGCCGATCTTTGTAATGAGGGCATTGGCGGTTAGAAATCAACTTGACCAGGTAGTGTCATCCCTTATAACGATGTAAGCCAGCAGTTGTTTCCCCTCTCATGTCAAACGGTGAGGCCAGTTCGCAACCAACTCTTCGTATCACTGAGTCTTTGTCAACCAGTTGCTTAGCGGCGTGATAATACTAAGCATTATGTATGCAACACAGACTCTGTCCGTCCCTTTGCAAGCTTGTAGAAGAAGGGCTTCCAATCGTGACTGGCTCACGCTGTTATTACAAAAGTAGTATCCTTAAAACAGGTCCTCTGCATGACGGTCTGACAAACCATATACGCTGCGGCAATGCATTTGTAAAATCCGTGCAACTCATCTACATAACGCCAGCCGTGGAGCTTCCAAGGCATTGAATCTGATCGAGAGCTAGACGGGGTATTCCGCAGTTGTGGGTGGGCGGACTTATGGTACTGAACGGGCTTCCACGTTCGTGTCTGCGAACAGACAACCGCTCAACGTGTTTTAGGAGGGGGATCGTGGGTGATACCAAGGGTGGCATTATGTCGGCCTCGAAGATTGCGCCTTTGGACCTCGACACTCAACTTCAAACTCCGGGGGTCTAGCAGGTTATGAGGATACTTTCGAATCAGAGATTACAATGGCCCCCGGTCTTGGTATTCTCCTTTGATTTTGGGGCAAGTCTTCGAGGCGCGGCGGGTTATTGTTCTCGCCGCCCTCAACTACGCGAGGCATACAAGACATGACCAAGCTGGGCTGTACCCAGGCGGTTGAGTGCTCGAAAACAGCGCCTTCTCCTATGAAGGAAAGCTGATTCGAGATCTTGCCTGCGGGCCTCTGCTCCGGCTCTCAGGGATGTCTAAAAGTCGGCATTGAATTCGATGCCATCGGAATCAGCATGTTGCCTCGACCTTGTGTTCGCGCTGGCTTATCGAGAGCACCCGCAACACAATGGAACACTGAAGACTACCTTGCGGTGATAGGGGCTGTAAGGAATTCCGGTTGCTGATGTGGAAATACGCACCTTTGCCTGTTGAAAGTTTCTAGGTCTGGCCCACGACAATCATCTCCCTGTAACAAGACATTCGTTGTATGTAGCCTCTGGCTCGGTGTCTTGGCCAGCGTCACAGCCTACATACGAATACCAAGTCAAAGTATTATGGCACCGCGAATTATATTTCCGGGGTAGCTTCTAAGTAGTATATCTAATACTTTGGATTGTGCCGTATCTCATATATACTTTTTTTCTTCTTTTTTCTTTTCTTTACCTTCTTTAGGTTCTCGACATTGCCTCAACGTCATGTCGTGTGCAGTTTGGGGATTGTCCGATATTCCTTACATCGTTCCCGCAAACTGTCCTGTGTCTATCACTATTGATCTCTTGATGTAAGTTGCGAAATCACGGACGAGGTCAGCCAACAACTTTCCGGAAAAATAACTTGAAGGCACGGTGGTTACCTCCAGTGAGCTATTGGTTGGCGATTGCTCCACAGAGACGATAAACGATTGGCACAATGGAATGGCCTTTCAAGTAAAGTGTCATAAGTACATTTCCAAAGGATAACTGATACGTATCGTTAAATAAGAGCTGCTACGGGTGGATCATGGGAGACTTTGAGGATCATCGCAGGAAGTGTGTCGCTAGCATAGGGGAGATTCTTGGGGTAAGACATATGCTGGAAGAACAACCAACAAGTATCGGTGTGCGGTAATCACTCAGGTCTTCTATTGGACAGAAAAAAAAATCAAACTATGGTACAAAGTCGTCTTCACGAGCCGTAAGAAAAATTCCTCGTTTGTAATGGTCGTATGTCAATTGCCCGCCACGGCATACCACTCACTTCCCGCTTCATAAACGGAACCCCCCTTCATTACATAACCCGCCTCTGGCATAACCAGGGGGTCCAACAAGCTCCGATCCACCGACCGAGCCATTGATTTCGTCACTACTCCGTCTGGGAGGCGCACGCACACGAGCAACACACTTGTCGCTCTCCAAACCTGAACTCCTTCCCTCCTTAACCAAACCTGCCGTCCGCCCACTTCCCTCCAATGTTCCCGCTTCCCTTCGATTGAATTTCCTAGTAACCAAAAAAGCATGAGGCATGCTCCTCCGCCGGTTCCAACCCGCAGCGGCCCGCCCCCTCCGCTCCGGCGCATTCCCGATCCCGGTCCTGTCCCCAGCGCAGCTCTCCCGAGCTCGCAACCTCGCAGCGGCGCCGTTCACCACCTCGCGTGCGCTGCGTGATGACGTCGCTTCCGCGAACCACTACGAGACCCTGAAGGTCGCTCACGATGCATCGCCCTCCGACATAAAGAAGTGCGTTCTTGTGTCCCCCTTTCTCTTTCTCCCTCTTCCTCCCGATTGCTTAGCTATTGCTGGCGATGCAAATAACCCACCGCCACCGATGCAATCTCACCTAGAACTTCCCCCAACCTCCTCCCACCTGAAGCCATCCCTCCCTTGTACTGCGACTCCTTCGAGAAAAAGCTGACGCCTCCTGTTCCTAAAGATCCTTCTACGCCCTCTCAAAAACCCACCACCCAGACCACAATCGCAACGACCCCGATGCCTCACGAAAGTTCCACGCCATAGCCGAGGCCTACTCCGTCCTCGGCACTCCCGCAAAACGCGCCGCCTACGACCGCTCCCTACCGTCCTCCTCCTCCTCATCTTCGCACGATCGCCGCGGCTCCTACCACAGCACCGGCCCCGCCGGCGGCCGCCCGGCCTCGGGCCTCTCGCGGCGCAGGACGACCTTCCGCGGCCCCCCGCCGAGCTTCTACAGGTCCGGCGGGTGGGGCCAGCAGTCGGCAAAGCGCAAGGAGGCGCACGAGGGCAGCGCTGGTGACGGGACAGGGACGGCAGGGGCGAGCGCGCAACCCGGCATGGGACCCGGGCAGGACCCGTACAGGCACACGAGGTCCGGCAAAGTGTCACATTTCGATTCGCAGACGCACACCAAGTCGCAGTCGAGACAGGACTCGCGACGGGCGCATAGGATCGCCGGCACTGAGGTGCCCATCGGAGCACAGGAGACGTCAGTGGGCGCTTTCATGGTCGTCAGCGGCATTCTGTTCTTTTCCTTCTTCATACCATACGTTGCCTTCGTCGGGTTGCGTCGCAAGAAGAAAGATGGGAAATATTAAAAATAGAAGGGCATAGAAACGAAAATATTGAGCGATAGACGTCTATCAGGATAGATAGAAACCTCACGATGGAACTCAACATCCCGCTGAACAGCACATCGAACAAGAGCATCCCAAGTGCCGGCCGATCAAACTCAATTACTCCCCGAACTAATATACACTAGACAGGAGCCTCCAAATGAAATGTGAAGAGCATTGGGTCCTCTACCCGGCCGGAGAAAGCTGAATAAATTGTCCTCGTCATGTATACAAGTGGTGAAAAACGCTCAGCCCTCGAAGGTGAAGCTGGCGCCAAGCTTGTGAGTAGCCTGGTCGAGCTTCTGTGTATCAAAGGAGGCACCAAGACCCAGGGTAACACCCTCACGGAGGAGGACGTTGTAGCCAAGGGCGGCAACACCGTTGTTGTTGACCTTGAACTATACACGCGCATGTTGGTCAGTACACGTTCGTCAAACCAGTTCAGAAAGGGAAAGTGACGCACCTTGGCGAAGGAGACGGGGTCGATGCGGTACTTGCTGGCAACCTCGAGGCCGACGTTGTTGCCGGCCTTGGAGTTCCAGGTGGCCTTGGCACCAGCCTCAACCTGGCTGTTAACCTTGTGGTAGTAAGAAGCAGCGAAGAGGCTGAGGTTGTCGCTGGCGGTGATGGCAGCGCTGTAGGTGGGGGCCTGGTAGCCGACGGCGGCGGCGTAGCCGGTGATGGAGGCCTTCTGGACATCGTAGCCAGCAGAGGCACCGGCGAGGAAGCCCTCGTGGCCAACAACAGCGTCGATGTTGGCGGTGGGGCCCTTCAGAAGGTCGAAGAAAGCGCGGCTGTGAAAGTTGCTCTGCTTGAAGGTAAGGTTGAACTTGGCACCCTTCTTGGAGACGGCCTTCTCGCCGGCGGAGGGCAGGAAGGAGAAGACACCCTCAGCCTTCAGGCCCTTGGCGAGGCTGTCGGCGAGCTCGACCTTGGTGTCAAGGGCAGCAGCGGTGTTCCATGTCTGGGTAAGGGTCAGGCCTGCGCGACGGTAGAATGTTAGCAAATATGCACGACCGGGCGTCCAGCCTGCGGCAAAATGGACCGGAATGCCGTAGAACAATCCGTTTATTTGGCCGAGGCTGAAATGTAAACGCTCTAAACGATGGACGGTGGTTGCTGTACCGGTAGACTTGTCGGAGTATTTGCCCTCGATCTGGATGGGAAAAGAATAGGTCAGCTCGGGCTCATGGTTGTTTACACAATATCGACAGCACTCGATGCGCCTTTGGTGTGTGGAAATGGTGCGACTTACAGCTCCAGCAGTGCTCTTCTCGTGGGAGCTCTTGCCGGTGACCTTGAAGGCAACGTTGTTGGGGGTGTTGCTCTTGAGCTCGAAGGTGGTGGCAGAGAGGTGGTAGAAGTCCTTGTTGAGAAGCTATCGAGAGTCAATGGTCAGCTGAGTGGTTTCTCGTCGCGGATGACCTCGGTCAGGGAAAGAGCCAAGAGCTCTCTATTTCTCCCTGGTCCGCGAATACCCGAACAACAAAACAAAGAGGGAGAGAAGGCGCATACGTCGTTGGCCGACTTGGCGATGTCTCCGAAGTTAGGAACAGACATGTTTGCTGATTTTGACAAAGGACGTTTTGGGGAAGAGAATTGAGGTGAGAATAGGAAGCGGTCAACGAGATGCGACAAGTGAAAAGGCGGGTTGCAAGTGTCCTTTCAGGAGATGGTCTGCTGGGGCGCGAGCTGTTCGAGAAAATGTTTTGGTTGCATCAATTGGATGACGGGGATTCCCGGCTCAAGTCGGTCCGGAGGAGCTGTGGTGAATGTGTGGTGACGGGGCTGCACTAGGACGCTTTTGGATGCACGTGGGGGATCTGTTATTGGTTTGTTGGGATTATGGCAGGCTGTGGGTGAAGCTTGGACAAGGATTCCATAATAAGGTGATGCACTGAAGAAGTGGATACTGAGTGCTGCTGACCGGTTATTCGATGCGTTTAGTTCTAGTATTTGTTTGCTTGGCTTTGTGTGAAAGGTAGACGGATGGTCGTAGGTGGTACTAGTATAGGAGATGGTAAGGCCATACTTATACCTACTACCTTTCCTTCACTACCTTCCTTTGGTAACAAGAGCGACAACATGTCAATTCATGAAGATATCTATCAGAGTGGCTCTCGGCACCATCTCTTTCCCCCATTCTCATTCCTTTCGTGGCCTTTCCTTCAACGGTTTCACTTCTCTCATACAATGTGGAATAACTTGAGTCACTGTGGATGTGCCTGCAGCCAATCATTGACTCTACCCTGACACTTCTGGACAATCGCACTCAATCATCGTTGCATACAAAGCGGGCTCTAGGATGGGGAGGTGAAGTTGGGGAAGACTCTAGGCCAGGATACTGGCTTTCTTGCCTGTTCCTGGAGAGCAACCCCTGAACATGGCAAAACAGGAGGGGCCAATGGCAAAGGCGTCACTAGGAACACTTGCGCAATTCCATTACGGAGTACTTTCAATTGCAATAACACCGACAATGTAATCGGTAAGGCAGCAACGGTATATCAATTGCAGCCTCTATCCATCCATCCATCCATATCCCTCCCCTTTTTCAAGACTCTAAACTTGTTGAGGTCTACTTAAGCCAACGACCCCGGACGCCTCTCCGCCCTTTACCCTCCTGCATTGACGTAAAATGCTAGGTAGGATACGGGTATCCTCCCCCAAATTACCACTTTATGCAGCATCGTCGTACTTTTTCTCGTGGATGGCAATGGCTCTGTCATGCAACGGGTCAGTAACTGATTTGGCTCTCTGTTTTCAATGGAGACGGGACGTCTTGTGACTCACCTGCCACTGGGGTCCGTTTGCTTGGACCATGTGGGGGTCCAGCGCATGACGGTCGAGGCGCAATGCGGCGGGAAGTGCTCATCGAACATAAGACGGTACCAGTACCTGTCAAATTCTGTCAGCGTACTCACTCACTTCAAACGGGTGAGGTTAGATGATGCATACCCCTCCTTGGTGTCCGGGATGTCACTGCCCCACTCCGGCTTGGGGTTCTTCATCATCTCGTCCGTCACCTGAATCTCAGCGTTGTCCTTGAGTGCGTCGATCCATCCGTATCCGACACCGTCCGAGAACTGCTCCTTCTGTCTCCACAGAATGTTGTCCGGGAGGTACGGCTCCGCGCCGGGCTCGTCCGAGGTATCAAAGGCCTTTCGGAGGATATACTTTTCCATCTTCTCCTTGGTGATCATCTTCTCCTGGGGGTCGATGTTCATGGTCGCCTCGAGGAACTGTGGGAGCAATGGTCAGCGAGGTCACCCTTTCGTCCGGGCTGCAAAATACTCACCTCCTTGTCCAAAAACGGCACACGAGCCTCAAGACCCCAGGCAGATGTTGACTTGTTGGCGCGCAGGCAGTCAGCAAAGTGGAGGTTCTTGACACGGCGGACCGTCTCCTCGTGGAAGGCCTTCTTGTCAGGAGCGGCGTGGAAGTAGAGGTAACCACCAAAGATCTCATCACTTCCCTCGCCACTGAGCACCATCTTGATGCCCATAGCCTTGATCTTACGGGAAAGGAGGTACATCGGTGTCGAGGCGCGGATGGTCGTGACATCGTACGTCTCGAGATGGTAGATGACATCGGACAAAGCGTTGAGGCCGTCCTCAATCGTGAAGGTCATTACGTGGTGCTTGGTGCCGAGGAACTTGGCGACCTCGAGGGCTGCCTTGTTGTCGGGTGATCCAGGGAGCCCAATGGAGAAGGAGTTGAGTTGAGGCAGATATGTGACTGTCGACAGCGTGTTGTCGTCATCGATACCGACCATGCCCTCACCAGTGTCAGGGTTCTCCGTCATGGGGAGCGCGCCGCCGTTGGCCTCGAGGGCGGCTTTCTTCAGACGCAAAGTCTCTCTTTGGGCAATGGCGGCAACCAAACTGGAGTCCAGGCCGCCGGAGAGGAGGACACCGTACGGCACCTCAGCCATGAGTCTCTTTCTCACAGACTTCTCTAGCTTTTCGCGGATCAACTTCAGGTCGAGAGGTGTCTCGGGGACTCTGGCCGGATCCCACCAAGAGGGCTCGAAGTATCTTGTGGTCTTGCCGGTGGGAGAGTCGTAAACGTGGCCGGGGGGGAAGGCCTCAACCTTATCACAGACACTGTGCAGGCACTTCAGCTCAGAAGCAAAGTAAACCGCCTCGGGTTCTTTTGACGACCAGCCATAGTAGAGAGTCGTGATACCGATGGGATCGCGGGCGGCAATGGTGCGGTCATTCTTCTTGTCGTACAAAACAAATGAGAACATGCCATCGAGATGCTTCGGGGCATCGAGGCCATATTCCATATACTACAGTGAACAAGCACCGTTAGAACTCCGTGGGTCCCACCAATGTGAGAACGAAAATCATGCGCGCGTTGCTGACTCACCAAGGGGATGACGACCTCGCAGTCGGAGCCGGTCTTGAAGTGGTAGGTATGCTTCAGAGCCTTGCGGATCAGGCGGTGGTTGTAGATTTCGCCGTTGACGGCAAGGATGATGCTCTCATCCTCATTGGTAAGGGGCTGGGCGCCGGACTCTATGGCAAAGGTTAGCCGTTTGTATCGCGGGTTAGGAAGAGGCCGACTTACCAACGCCGACGATGCTGAGACGTTCGTGGCACAGAACTGCGATTGACGGTCAATTGACGGACACCACGCAACTACAATTCAGATCGACTTACTCGTCCTGTTGCAGATGAAGCTGCCGCCTGTGCAAGGGTTGGTCAGTTGGCTGCTCGGCGTTGTTGAGGTCGCGTATGCGTCGCGGTGACTCAGAACTCACTCCAATCGGGGCCACGGTGACGGATACTGGAAACTCCGAGTCAATTAATACTCACGAAAGCTAGGAATGGTACGACTTACGCCTTTGCAAGCTTCAAAGCCGTGGGCTTGAATTTCTGGACGTCAGGGTGACTAGGCGCACAAAAAGTCAGTCGCGTCGTCCATGGAAACACATGGCGGGGTCAACTTTTTGTTGGAGGGGGAGCTCGAGTGCCCCT